ATATATATATATATAATATATATATATATATATATATATATATATATATATATATATATATATATATACATATATAACAAGCAACAATTTCTTCAGCTTGCAACACGATCTGTATATATCTTCCCCTCCATCGATACCTATAAATCAGTGTACTTCTATTTTTATCTCAGAAGCCCCACATAAAAAAAAAGAAAAAAGAAAGAAGAAGAAGAAGAAAAAGCACAACCTTTCCCTCACTGCGCCACGGGATGACTGAGCGTCGGGTCGAATGACGCCCTCTAAGTACGCGGGAATCGGGTCACGTGACCTCAGGGGAAGGGGAGGGGAGAGGAAGGGGGGGGGGCAATCCCCTTAAGAACGAGATTTGATATTCTGAAGGTATCCGATGACTTCAAAGACCTCTTGTCTTAATTCCTTTCTCTTCCCCTACTTCCTTCTTTTCTTTTTTTACTTATCCCCCTTCTTCTCTTTCCTTCTTGTTCATTCGTCTTTTTCTGTTTGGCTTGTTTTGTCTTTCCGGTTTATTGGGTTCTCTTTCATTTTCTGATTTATTTTCCCCTCTGTATTCCCTCTCTCTTCTTCCCCCATTCCTTCATTAGAACTCTTTCTCTTATTATCTGTATCTATCTCTTTCTTTTTTTTCTCTCTCCCTCTCTTAATCACCACCCTCATTATCTGTTATCTCTTATCGCCCAGTATCAGAACTAACGGCCTTAAAAATGCGTAAGAAAAAAAAGAAAAAAAAAAAGGAGAGAGAATTTAAAAAAATAATAATTTTCCCGCGCAATTACACATCGTTTCGCGCGCTAAGTTAATTTCACCGCGGCGATCTCTCTCGCACTCCGGTGAAAATAACGAGACGTTAATGAGGATCAGCCTTAATGCTAGCGTTTCCTCTCTCTTTTTCGCATTTTTTTTTCATTCTTTAAATTTCGCGAGTAATATCTAAAAATGAAATGCTGATGAATTGATGATTATTATTTTGCAATTATATTTCTATTGACTATTATTATTATCATTATCACTTTTGCAACATAAACAAAGTAAATGCAGATGAATGGGACTATTATTTTGCAATTATATATATTTTTTCTATTCATTGTCTATTATCATTATTACTTTTGCGAGTAATAAAAAAAAAAAAAGATGAAATGCAGATGAATGGAAGACTATTATTTTGCAATTATATTGTTTTCTATTTATTGACTATTATCATTATTACTTTTGCGAGTAACATAAAAAATGAAAAGCAGATGAATGGAAGACTATTATTTTGCAATCATATGTTATCCTATTTATTTATTACTATTATTAATACTTTTTCGGGTAATAACCAAAAACTGAATGCAGATGGATGGCAGACTATTATTTTCCTTTATTTATTTTTCGTTTATTTTTCTACGGTAATATATAAAAAAAAATGGATGATGAAATACTATTAGTTTTTTTATCTATAATTATTTCTTCACGAGATATATTAAAAACAAAAAGCAGATGAATGAAATACTATATTTTTTCTTTTCTTTGTTTTTCTTTTTCATTTCATATTTCATCGGATAATGTCTCGCTTCGAGTGGAATAGAATTGCAACATTTTAACATTTGATCAATCTCTAATTGCTGTTAGTAAAAGCGACCGTTATCATTTTCACATTTTCATTAATCATCATTATCTCTGTTCTAACTATTATCAATTATCTTTATACCTTTAATGATAATGATAATAAATATGATGATAATACGAATAGTTATAATGAAAAAATGAAAACAATGGTAGGAATAAAGCGATAATAATGATAATAAAAGCGATAATAATGATAATGATAATAATAATAATAGCGATGATAATAAAGATATGAAAATGGTGATGATAACAACAACAATAACAGTGATAACAAGAGTTATAACTCTGATTTTTATAACCATTATCATTACTATCATTACTATTATCACCATCATCATTATCATTATTATTATTATTATCATTGTTAACAGTATTACTTCGGTCATCATTATCATTGTTATCATTATCATTATCATTATTATCATCACTATCATCATCATTATTAATACTATTGTTGTCATTATCAATATTATGATTATCATTATCACTGTTATTATTATCATTATTTTTATCATCATTATCATATTTTTTTCATTGCCATCATCATCGTTATCATTAGTATTATCATTATGACTATTACTATTCTTATCATCATTATCATTCGTATCAATATCACCATTATCATTTATCATTGCTAACATTGCTAATATTACTTATATTATATCCACTATTATTAGCGACAGTAATATTAATATCATCAACTTAAATAAAAACAATTTCACTTTATTTTCTTCCCACAGACACTCTAAACATAACGCAATTATTACAACTTATTTATCATCACAACGAATAAAAAAGTAAAGAAAGAAAGAAAGAAAGAAAGAAATAAAGATTATTTGATGCACGTTTTGTCATCCAATCCTAATATCTTTCTGCAATATTTTTCTGAACTTTTTCGATCATAGGAAAATTGTTTTGTTTTCTCTTACTTGTCTATATTGCATGGGTGTTGCATTGCAATTACGGTTGCATGTGTTTTGACGTAGATATATGATAAATGGATGTGTGTATATGTGATGTATGCCAATATGTATATGTATTGTATGTGTGTGTGCGTGTGCGTGTGTGTGTGTGTGTGTGTGTGTGTGTGTGTGTGTGTGTGTGTGTGTGTGTGTGTGTGTGTGTGTGTGTGTGTGTGTGTGTGTGTGTGTGTGTGTGTGTGTGTGTGTGTGTGTGTGTGTGTGTGTGTGTGTGTGTGCGTGTGTGTATTTATGTAAGTATACATATCATGTATGTATGCATGTATGCACACATACATCTATGTATGATCGCATATATGTATGTATGTGTGTGTATATATGTATTTATGTATAAATTTATGCATTTATGTATGTATGTATGTTTATGTGTGTATATAAGTTCGTATGCATTATTGTGAGTATGTATGCATGTATGTATATATTCATTTATGCATGTTTGTATTTATGGATGTAAGTATATGTATGTATGTATGTGTGGGTGCATACATATGTCTATGTATGTATGTATGTACGTATATATGTGTTAATGAATGGATACATGGATGCAAAAATGTAAGTATGTATGTATCTATGTATGTATGTATCTGTATGAATATATGGATATGTATGTAAGTGTATGTATGTATATGTCCATGTATGTGTATATGTATGTATGTAAGTGTATGTATGTATATGTCTATGTATGTGTATATGTATGTATTTATGTATGAATGTTTGTATGTATGTATGTATGTAATGTGTGGATGTATATGTATATATGTATGTATGAATGTATGTGCGTATGTATGTTTGTATGTATGTATGTATGTATGTATGTATTTATGTATGTATGTATGAATGTATGCATGTATGTTTGTATATATGTATGTAGTATATGTACGTATATGCATGTATGTATGAATATATGTAATGGTAATGTAGTATATGCATGTATGTATATATACATGTAAGTATTTATGTATGTATGTATGTACATATGTCTGTATGTCTGTATGTCTGTCTGTCTGTATGTATGTATGTATGTATAAGTATATGTATGTATGTATGTATGTTGGTATATATGCATGTATGTGTGCACGTTTTATTTGTCTGAATAAATGTACATATAAGTATGTATACATGCTTACCTACCAATCTCTCGTGTGTATACAGATATAATGTGAATCAGTTTTATCGCATCCATTCATTACATTAATCAAATTAGCCATAAGTGTATTGCTTATGGAGTTGCAAAAAAGGAAATATTAAATTGCCGATAGAGGGTGGGCGGCGCTGTGCCTCGTGCAATAAAAACGATCATTCGAAGGTGACTCATACATTGTTGCGCAGAACATGTTTCCCTGTCAGTAGTAATTAAGAAAATGGAGATACATGTCTTTAACTACCTAGTGATTAATTATGTATCATCATACTAACTGATTATACGAGAGCACAGTCAACATGGAGGTAACAATGACAACTGTGGTAGAATTATCAATAATAATAAGATGATATCAAGAAAAATGATTTTGATGCTAATATCAACCCCTCAGTCTTGCCTCCCCCCCCTCCAAGCGACTGGGGAACCCCCAAATCTCTTCAAGGATTGAGATAAGAATATCGATGGAAACCACTGTACTAAAGCCTCTTTTGAGTAACTCAAGACCCCCAACTTCGTGATCAATATTTCTTTCATGATTCCTAACTTCACGATCAATATTTCTAACTTCATGATAATACTTCTAACTTCATGATTCCTAACTTCATGATCGATATTTCTAACTCCATGATCAATCCTTCTAACTTCATGATCAATATTTCTAACTTCCTGACAAATATTTCTAACTGCATGATCAACATTTCTTTTATGGTCATTATTTCTAACTTCATGATTTCGAATTTCATGATCAACATTTCTAACTTCATGATCGTTTCTCATGATTAATATTTCTAACTTCATAATCAATATTTCTAAATTCACGATCAATACTTTAACTTCATGATCAAAACTTCTAACTTCCTGACCAATATTTCTAACTGCATGATCAATATTTATAACTTCATGGTCAACATTTCTTTCATGGTCATTATTTCTAACTTCATGACCAATATTTCTAACTTCAAGATAATACTTCTAACTTCATGATTTCTAACTTATCGATCAATATTTCTAACTTCATGATTCCTAATTCCATGATCAATATTTCTAACTTCATGATTCCTAATTCCATGATCAATATTTCTAACTTCATAATTCCTAACGTCTCGATCAATCCTTCCAACTTCACGACCGTTTCTCATGATCAATATTTCCAACTTCATAATCAATATTTCTAACTTCACGATCAATCCTTCCAACTTCACGACCGTTTCTGGGCCGTCCCCACACTCCCCACTCCCCCTCCCGTCCCTCCTCACCTGGATGGAGACGCCGCCCCTGGGGGAGTCGTAGTCGATGTTCTGCGGGCCGTGGAACCAGAGGATGTGGGCGGGCGCCGAGTGGGGCATGTGGTGCACGATGCAGGTGATGGCCAGGATGCTGCCCTGCTGGATGTGTCGCTCCGTCGGGCCCTCGATCGTCGCCAGGGGCACTGCGGGCGGAGGGCGCGTCAGTCGGGGGTGGGGGGCCGAGGCGAGGCGAGGGGGGGTGAGGGGTTGGGGGTTGGGTGTGGGTGGGTGGTAGGGTAGGAGGATGGGGGTGGGGGTGGTGGGGTGGTAGGGGTAAGGGGGGTAGAAGGGTGGGGTAGGGGGGTTAAGAAGGAGGGGGTTTGGGGTGGTGGGGGTGGAGGGGGAGGGGGAGAGGGGGGGTAGGGGAGGGGGTTAGATAGAGAGGGGTAGGGGGTGGGTGGGGGGGTAAGGGTGGGGGGTAGGGGTAGGGAGGTAGAAAGAGGGGGTAAGGTTGTGGGGTAGGGTGAGTGGTAAGGGGGTGTGGCGTAGGGGGAGGGGGTTAGAAGGGAGGGGGCAAGGGGGTTGGGGTAGGGGGGATTAGGGGAGATCGTGATATTGATGAGGGTCGGTGTTCGGGGGAGGTGAGAGAGGTTGATTGAGGGGTAAATTGAGTTGAAGTTTATATATAAACATATGCATATATATATATAATATATATATAATATATATATATATATAATTATATATATATATATATATATATTATGTATGTATATATATATATATATATATATATATATATATATATATATAGTATATATATATATATATATATAATATATATATATATATTAATTATATAATAATATATTATATATATATAATATTATATATATATATATATATACATAATATATAATATTATATATATATATATATATATATATATATAATATATATCTATATAATTATATACATAATATAGTATTATATTATAATAATTTTAATAACATAATATATATAACTTATCATATATAATATATACATATAATACTGTACATAAATTCAGATGTTGCACATCCAGGTGAGATCAGTTTGTGCTTCGAGTGGGCGTCGGAAGCAAGCGAAGGCACAAGAGGGAGTCCACTGGCAGTGAGAAAGGGAGAGGGAGATAATTTCAGTTTTAGGAGAGGGCGAGAGAGGAGGCGAGAGGAGATGGAATGAAATATAGAGAGGTGAGGCCTCGCTGGCGAATAACTGTGCAGTAAGAGTTAGTTGAGTTACGGGTCATGTAAGGCTAATCTCGAGGAACAGGGTCTTGAGCATGTGCTAACTTCATGTAGAGAGGAGCGAGGCCTTGAGATATCTCAGGGCGGTACGGTCAAAAAGACCTGTACCACGCTATACAATTACCCACCCACTCACACAACCGCACACATCAATTCACATCAACCCACATCACAACCTCCTTTCCTACTCACTCTTAAACTTATTATGAATCACACACACACAACACACTCGACTTACATCACACTACACTGCTTCACACCTTAACATCTACACACATCACAACACACACAACCGATACTATGTGCCTCATCACACTGCTAATTGCATAACTTCTCAATCATAACACACATCGTCTAATGCGTTGTAGTCATGTGATCCATCTAATATGACTCACACAACATATTATTATAATATACTATATATACTACATATATATAATACTATATATACAATATACATATACATTATATCACATACATTTATTACATATAACATCATACATTACACACACACACACCATTCACACTAACAAATATTTATTATAGATGACATCTTAAGACACACCCATCCAGACATACAAAAAGCTGTTCCCCTTCACAATTTAGAATACATTTATTCCTAACGTCTTCGTTAACTACTGGATAATCATTTCTCTACAATAGTGAAATGTCATAAATCCCATCTTAAATTGCAAGATGTGTGTGTGGTGCGGTTGTGTTTGGTGTGTGTATGTATACTACATATGTTATAAATCCACTATCATACTTATATATTACATATAGTAACATTATATATATATATTCTCTACTATCATAACTCGTATATTATTATATAACTATATATATATCTCACATCACACCACGCAGCAGCTACACACATTACACTCACTATACACACGGAAACATACCACCCACACATCAACACACGCTCACACATATCATACTAATCTAGATTATCTATATATAATATATATATATAAATTATATATAATATATATATAATATATTACTATTCATATCTCTTTTATATATTATATATGTAAAATATATATACTATAATAGTTATATTATATATACTTACGTATCTATATATAATATATATATAATATATATAGTTATTTTATAACTATAATGAGCACATAGATCGGTTGAAGCGCTTAGTTGTTGCTGGTTATTCTCTTCTTTTCCGTGTTATTCTATGATAAGTAAATTCATAAATTACATCAGGTGACCTTGCTTCAGCATATAGACTGTCCTCTTTGTGTCGTCACTAACTTAATTGCATTGTTGGCGTAAATGCAGACTCATCGAAACTATCAACAGTACGCTTTAGTAAGCACAGATACAATCTGCCACGCATTTACTGAATAAATATCTTATTTCATATCAAAGCGGTGTAGCACAGGCTACACCACACACCCTACCCAATGCTTGCACTCCGAACTCGGGTATCTACGACTACGCTCAGAATATAATCACTTATAATAATAATATTACATAATATTATTAATATATATTAAATTTATATGTATGGGCTTTCTTGCTTTGGGGAAAACAGCTGTTATAGTTTTAAGTTTTAACTTCACGTGCTTTCAGTAATGACACGACGCGCCAACAACTGGCCATTATATGACATATGTCATTAGACCTATAATGACAATAAGACAGCGGCAAATGGGGTCAAAATATATAATAATAATAATATTTATGATCAACATGACATTTACTGTGATAGACATAATATAATTTGTAATAGTTAAAATACTAATTCATACATGACTAGTGTTGATGTCTATTATAATATATATATTATTCATATATAATTCATATATATATAATTATATCTATTACTTATTTAAATAATATAAATATTTATATATTATATGATACATATATAACAAAATTCCTAATTACTTATATATTAAATTACATACATCATAATTTTAAATACATTTAACACATATCGATATTGATCAATGATTAAATATTATATTACTATATATACATATACATCTATATATTAATGTTATTATATCTATAATATATTAATATATAATATACTATATATATAATATATAATACACATATATATACTATGTATACTTACATAACTACCTTTTATCATACCTCTATATTCATTATATATAATATATTTAATATATTATACTACTATACTATTTTATATAATATCTATATACCTCATATCTACTATATATATATATATATTATTATACTATCTATATTATATATATATATCCTACATTCACCCATCTCTCTGTATACTATGCTAATACTATACTAACTATAATATCAACTATATCCATATATTCTAATATATATATCACCTCTACTACTATGATTATACTATCCTCTTTACTCCACTATATCCTATAATCACTACACTCATCAGTATCTATACATATAATACATATCCTATAGCTATACCTCATATATATTATTTACATTAATTTAATATACATTGATAAACTATAACTATATTGTATATATAAATATTCTATATATATAATATAATATACATCTAATTCATCAACTATTAAATTTAAAATACTTCACATATCTATACCTTCTTATTGAATATATATAAATATACTCTATTTCTATATCATTATATATATTACCATATAATATATTGCTATAATCTATTAATAGACTTATATATACTATAGTACTATATAAATATAGATTACATCATTCTATAATCAATGTATACTATATATATATATTATCTATTTATATTAAACTATTTATATTCACTACCACTATATACTATATATCATTTACTCATTACTCATATCTAATACTATACTAATTAGATATTAATCTTTTATAATGTATATAAAAAATAAGAAATATGTATTATACGTACATACATAATACATAACCACAACTTTCCAATCACAAATCTCATATAATACTATTTGCTTATTATCACACATATAATATATCTATAACTATCTTAATATACTACTATTCCTATATATCACAATATTATATAATAATATACATACCTCATATTATACTATTATCATATATATTTTTTATATATATTAATACTATATATATCATATATATATATCTAATTACTATCCATTATCACTACATACTACACACACATCCACACGCCTACATTCCAACTCATACGTCTCTCGATCTACCTAGCTATACTGTATACCCACACCCTACACATACCATTACACTAACTTAATTATTGTAATTAGCACACATCACACACCATCAAACTAACACACACAATATACACACAACACATTTACACACACATATACAAGAAACACAAATATATAATGCACTAAAATCATAATAAAGTAGATAGGTAGATAGATAGTACAGACTCAATACACATTATATTATAGAATGAAAATAAACATAACTACAAGATAGCAACATAAAAGATTGCAGATACTGCGCAGATTTCTTAGCAAGAACGTCTAGAGTTCACCCAAGAGAGGAGGAGACGAGAAGAGAAGGAGGACAACGGTATCACAATAACACCAGGTCATAGCGATTCACTTTTAGGGCAGACCAGTTTTTCACGGGAGATGAAGTAGAGGACAGGAAAGGCAAAAGTTAGGCAAGGTATAGTATTAGGAATTTCTTCCACAGTCTAATCACTTAAGAAAAGCAGCTGGATCTCAGACTTGCTGCAAAGAGGCATTAGAAGGAGATTTAAATGGTCTGAACCTTATATTTCAAGGAAAAGAAAAGAAAACACAACAAGCAAACTCACACCGAGCAGCACACACTACAACAGACTACCAAAGAGATCCATCCGCTAATTATAAACCTATCTAATAATAATCAAAAGTCTAATCACTGGATTTACCTACAGAAAAATATACTTGTTATTTAGATATCACATTGTTGCAAATACCCTT